ACGAGGTCCGGGGGCACGCGGCCGACCACCTGCAGTCTCTCACGCACTGGCGACGCCACACTGCCTGTTGAGCAGGGACCGGCCGTCCCGGCATGCCTACAGTCCTCCCACGAAATGTTACCAGAATCCCAACATGTTCTAAGAGCAAGCAATGTTCTTAGAACATATACCCAATGTGGTAACACAACACAGACTCCGCCAGACATGTTCTGGGAACATGTCGTGCAGACCACAAGAGGTTCTCAGAACATTGTTTGGTGGGGCTATGGGCGAGCCAGGACGCTTCGCCACTCCTTTCGGCTGCACGTGAGGAGTGACTCTGGGTAAGAGTGACCTTTGGTGCGCGGCTTTTTGGGGGGCGCGGGGAGGCCAAACACAAGCGCGCAGGACGCTAAGATCGCAACGAGCGCGGCGATCGGGGGACCTCAGTGAGCGCGCACCGAAGATCTCTCCGGCGAAGGGTAACTCTTACCTCAATGGGACCCAGATACGGCAAGGCCGTCTTTTATTTGTTTCCGAAAAAATGGTCCTTGAAAATGGAAACGGCAAAAAAAACGGCGACCGGAGACGGCAACAACTCCAGGAGGTCCAGGAGTGGAACCGGAGCGGGAACCCGCATAAAAGAACGGCGACGGAACCGGTAAAACAACGGCGTCGGAACCGGCAACAGAAATGGCAAAACGGAACCGGTAAAAAAACGGCCCTGTCGTTTCCAGGGCCTACTAAGCCCCAAGAGGTCCCCAAGAGGCCGCAAGAGGCCCCCAAGATGCCCCAAAGATGCTCCAAAGCCCCCGAGAGGCCTCCCACGAGATCCCCACGAACATCCCAGAGGCTCCATACCCTCTTACGTCTCTATGTCGATCCTTGCCATGCCTGTTGGAGGCCTGGAAATTGGCACCAACACCAGAACAAGGGGTTGCCTCCACATGGGAAAGATGATCCTAGATTCCGGTGTTGGTGGTGATATTTCGGTCACCTTGGAAGCCAGAATATTACCACCATCACCGAGAACGGAATCTTCTTCCATCGGTGGAAGCACACCGCCGATCTTGGTGTTGGTGTTAACCTCTAGGCCTGCGATGCCTGGGCCTCGCGACCCCCAGGGCGCACCGCCGCGGCTCAGTGCCCGCCCGGCGCGCGGCGGCCCGCCCGCCGCCGCGGCGCCCACGACGCCGCGGCGGGCGCGCGGCGTGGCGCCGCCGGGAGCGCCCGCGCGCCGCCGGGGGGCCCGCCGCGCAGCCGGGCGCCGCGGGGGGCCGCGGGGAGCCTCGGGGACGCAGTGGGCCCTGGAAACCCAGACCCCCTCGAGTCAGGAAAAAAGCACGACGCGAGGTTTTTCGCCTTTCTCGGCCTCTGGGCACCCTAGTACCGGCCCTCAGGACCGTCGAAAAACGACTCGGGATGAAGAGCGGGTCCCGGGGAAAAAATCATGACGTCGGGGGTCTGGGAACGACAGGGCCGTTTTTTTTTTACCGGTTCCGTTGTGCCGTTTTCGCTGCCGGTGCCGACGCCGTTTTTTTTAACCGGTGCCGTCGCCGTTCTTTTCTGCGGGTTCCCGCTCCGGCTCCACTCCTGGAGCCGTTTCTGTTGCCCTTTCCGGTCGCCGTTTTTTTGTTGCCGCTTCCATGTTCCAGGGGACGTTTTTTTCGGAAGCGGTGAAAAAAACGGCCTTGCCGTTGCCAAGGCCCACTGAGCCTCGGGGAGCCGCGCGCGGCCCTGAGACTATGACCCGGCGGTGCAGTCGACGGGCCGAGGAGGGGAGAAAGAAACGCCCCCTCGCGGCGGGGAGGGGCCCAGGCCTGCGGACAAAAGTCGGGACCCCGCTCCCCTCGGGCAGCGGGCCATGGCGCCCAGACCACGACGGGAAGCAAATTACAGTACTGTTTGCGGCCTCCGGGGGCCCTCGCCGGGCCCCAGGGCTGACTACCTACCAAACCACCCCAACCCAACCCGAAGACCCGAATTTGACCCGAATTTCGGGTTGGGGGGGGGTACGAGTTCCATGTGTTTTTTCAATGTTCCCCGACCCCCCCCACTGGAAATCGAGGATAAATTTGGGCCTTCGGGTTGGGTTGGGGTGGTTTGGTGGGTGGTGAAGGGCCGTCACCAAGATGGCTCTGGGTGAAGAGGCGGTCCTGCTGCAGTGGTCGGCTCGCCTGCAACTTGCAGCAGCTGCAAGGCGGCTGCAACCCACCGGCAAGGGGCACCTGCAAGGGGGGGCTGCCAGTCCGCCGAACCGAGCTAAACATCTGGGCCAGGCGCGGACCTGACTCGGAGCAGCTGCGCGGACTTGCAACCCACTTGCAAGTGCCTTGCCAAGAGAGCGACGACGAGAACCGGGTCTTACGCGAGATGGCATGGCGACCTTACGCCGCCGCTTAAGCGGGTCGCCAGCGCGACACTCCACATTGGAAACGAGGGCGCTCACGCGCGGCCTTACGCGGACAGCTCACGCGCCAAGGGAAGACGAAACAGTTTCTTTCCGTCGCTCAAGTGGGTCGCAACCAACTGGCAACTGTTGCACGTCACAGCGATCGCTACAGCAGATGCCCAACGGGAGATAGTTGGCCTTAGGTCGGGCATGTCCTTCTACGGGCGGATCTTGGAGGAAAGATAAAGAAATAGTCAGAAAGATATCCAACAATGATCCAGATAGTTGAAAAACCCTCCCCTGACTATTTTATGATCTTCTCTCCCCAAACAAACGACGTCCTGATTTTTTCAATGCGGGGGCCCTGGAAGTCCGGACCCTCTCACTGGGACCGGGTTTTCATGCCGAGTCGTCTTCACGGCCCCGAGGTCCGGCGATGGCCCCCCGAGGCCGACAACGGCCAAACATCTCCCGCCCTGATCTTTTTTACGACGCGATCATGTCCAGGGAAATACAGCCCCAGACCCCCTCGAGTCATGAAAAAATCACGACGCGAGGTTTTTCGCAATTTTCGGCCTCTGGGGACCCTTACCGGCCCTCAGGACTGTCAAAAAACGACTCGGGATGAAAAGCCGGTCCCAGGGAATGGGTCCGGACCTCTGGGGGTCGCGTCATGAAACAATCATGACGTCGGGGGTCTGGGGCCAACGATCCGATTTGCTCAAAGTGGTTTTCTCCTCGACTTCAGCCCTTCGGCGCCCGAAATCCCCCTGTCGGGGGCCAGGCCCGACCTCAGTCTCGACCCAGACATGATCGCGTCGTTTTTTAATTCAGGATGGCAGGTTTTTGGCCGTTTCCGGCCTCGGGGGGGCCCTTCGCCGGGCCTCGGGGCCATCAAAAAACGACTCGGGATGAAAAACCTGGTCCCAGGGAGAGGGTCGGGACTTCCAGGGACCCCGCATTGAAAGAATCAGGGCGTCGCTTGTCTGAGGGCGCATTCCGCGGGAACAGCTCGTCATCCCGAGTCGCTCCTTTTTGCGTTCCCAGGGTCGGCAAGCGCACCCAGAGGCTGGCAACGGCCCACAGCCTCCCGTCGTGCCTGTCTCATGACGTGAAGAGATGCCTGGGATCGGTGCCTGAGGATGTCCATAGGAACGTCGGCTGCACGCAAGAGTGACCCTGGGTGAGAGTGACCTTTGGTGCGCGGCTTCTTGGGGGCCGCGGGGTGGCCAAGCACAGGCGCGCAAGACGCCACCAGCGTACCGCGCTCTGCGATCAGGGACCCCCCCCCAATGTGCCCGCACCAAAAGGTCACGCCGGCGAAGGGTCGCTCTTACGTCTCGTCGAGAACGAGCCCCGAGGTCCGGCACCCCAGACCCCCGACGTCATGATTTTTTCATGACGCGACTTCCAGAGGTCCAGACCGATTCCCCGGGACCGGTTTTTCATCCCGAGTCGTTTTTTGACGGTCCTGAGGGCGGGTAAGGGCCCCCGGAGGCCGAAAATAGCGAAAAACCTCTCGTCATGATTTTTTCATGACTCGAGGGGGTCCGGCACCTGGGCGTGGTCCCAAGATCCCCCGACGACGTGACGCTGTTTTTAAGTCCGGGCGAGCTCTGCGCCTCGACTCTCTCCGGTCCCTGCGAGGGCCCGCCTCCGCGCAACCCGCGGGGCCCTCCAGTGGAGCAGGGGCCGACCGTCCCGGCATATTCCTCGAGTCCTACCACGACATGTCCTCGGAACCCCAAAAAGTTCCAAGAACCAGAACAATGCTCTTCGAACGTAAACCCGGTGTGTTAAAACAAAGCAGTCCCAACCAGAAATGCTCTAAAAACATTTCGTGCAAACTGCAAAAGGCTCTTAGCACATGGTTTGGTAGGGCTGTAGGCACGCCGGGACACTTCGCCACTGCTTGATCAAGAGCGCGTCCGCCGTCGCCTCTTGGCCAAAAGCCTCGACCCTCGAACCTATCCGCAGGCTCAGGCGGGTGGTAACGGAAGACAAAAGGCCCCAAAGGGTTACTTTAGGGCCCTCTTGGGGGGCCAAAAGGAGCCCTATAACACCCCTTTGAGACCCTGGTCTTCACCCCACATTCGGGTCACCCCCCATTGCCACCCGCCCGAAAAGCAACAAGTACCCATACCGCTGCTCGCCGGACCTCTCCCGGCGTGCAGACTCTGACCAGCTATAGCTGAGGCGAATCCGGCGGTGGCGACGAGGGCCCTCCCAGGAGGCCCCGCGAGGGGGAAAATCCAGGAGCAGGCGGCGGTCCCAGACCCCCGACGTCATGATTGTTTCATGACGCGACCCCCAGAGGTCCGGACCCATTCCCTGGGACCGGCTGTTCATCCCGAGTCGTTTCTTGACAGTCCTGAGGGCCAGTAAGGGTCCCCAGAGGCCGAAAATAGAGAAAAACCTCGAGTCGTGATTTTTTCATGACTCGAGGGGGTCTGGGCCCTCTGACCCACAAGCAGCTGCCCCCGATCCTCGAGCCGGGGACACGGCCTGCTTGCGAAACACTCCCCGCGTGGCCCGAGGCGCCTGCGCGACGTGCTGCCGCCGGCGCGGCGCCGCGCCGGCGCCGCCCCCGGCAGCCACAGCGCGCACGCGAGCGCCAGCAGCGGCCGTGCGGGGAGCCCGGAGCCCGCTCGCAGCCGTCGCCCCGCCACGGGCGAGGAGCACCTGGGCCACGGAAAGACCCCTCCTGCTCCTCCTGCTCCTGCTCCTGCTCCTCCTGCTCCTCCTCCCCCTCCTCCTCCCTCTTCCTCCCTCCTCCTCCTTTCTCCTCCTCCTCCCCATCCTCCTCTCCTCCTCCTCCTCCTCCTCCTCATCCTCTTCCTCCTCCCTCCTCCTCCTTCTCCTCCTCCCCCATCCTCCTCCTCCGCCTCCTCCTCCTCCTCCTCTGCCTCCTCCTCTTTCTCCTACAAGAGGCATCGCCTTGCGCACGATGGCACGGCGGCTTGGCGAGGTGGCTACGTGGAGAAGAGGGCGCGTGCGAGCAGCCTTACGCGGGACGCTGAGGTGCGAATGCGGGCCCAGTCGATAGCCCATCACATGCCGATGAGCCTCAGAACGTGTCAGCGCCTCCGTGTGATCATGCACCGAAGCCAACACGATGGCGTGCAGCACGTTTTCCTGAGATCCTGGCATTAGAACTATTTCGCACTGGGCGTGCTCGCTGGGTTTCGGGCCCATGGACCCTCACAGATCGATCTGGCTCGAAAAGTTGCGCAGACAGATGGGGTGCGGGCTCTGGTCGCGACTTTTTTTACGAAACTGCCATCGTTTGTTCTACGTCGGGACTCGGGGGGCTGGGACGTGGAGGCTTAGGAGCTGCGCGGCCGTGAGCGGCTCGGCGGGTGGGCGCTTCTGCCCCCCTCTTGTCCTCCGCCTCGCCTGCCTCCCCCCTCACTCGGCAAGGACGGGCCAGGCCCCTGATTCCCGATCGTTTTGTCTCCGGACGGGATTGTGACCCAGACGTCCGACGCCTCGATATTTTCGAGGCGCGGGCCCCCGACCAACCGACGACCACTTCCCCGGGACCCGTTTTTCATCCCGAGTCGTTTGCTGACGGTCCCGAGGCCCGGCGAGGGCCCCGAGAGGCCAAAAACTGTGAAAAACCTCCGCCTCGATTTTTTTCGAGGCGTCCGATGTCTGGGGACCGCTACTCCCCCCGTGCAGGGTGAGACGCTCTGACGCAAACGCTTCCCTTCCATACGACCCGGGCAGCACAACGGCGAGGGACAACACCGGGCTCCGCGCGCCAGCGGCGGAGCCGGAGTTGGTAAATGAACACGCACTTGGGCCAACACGCGTCCGTAGGGCCATCTCCATCATCCACATCCCGCGAGTGAGCAAATCTAGATCCCCGACGATAGGGTTACTGCAATCAGCTTTCTTCCTCGACGTGGGCCTCCAAGATCACCCACAATGGACCGTCCAAAATGAAGCCGGGGCGACAAGTCGGGCCCCAGGACCCTCCCAACATGGAACCGGGGCGAAACACTGGCCCCAGGGAAGCGGTCAGGACCTCTGTCGGCTACACGCAGGAGCGACCCTGGGCAAGAGCGACCTTTGGCGCCTGGCTTCCGGAGGGCCGCAGGGGGGGGGGGGGGGGCAAACACGAGCGAGGAAGACGCCACTGTCGCACCGCACGCGACGATCGCGGAGCCCCCATCGGGCCGCGCACCAGACCCAGACCCCCGACGTCATGATTTTTTCATGACGCGACCCCAGAGGTCCGGACCCATTCCCTGGGACCGGCTTTTCATCCCGAGTCGTTTTTTGACGGTCCCGAGGGCCGGTGAGGGCCCCCGGAGGCCGAAAATAGCGAAAAACCTCGAGTCGTGATTTTTTCAGGACTCGAGGGGGTCTGGGACCAGAGGTCCCTCCGGCGAAGGGTCCCTCTGACGTGCAGTCGCCTCCGGAGCCACGCGGTGCACAGGCCGTGCGGGAGGCCATCCCTGGGCCTCGAGGGGGTCGAGGCTCCGCACACCGTGCTCGGCGCCTAGGGAGGCCGCTCTCGGGCCCTGCAGGGTAAGAGCTCCGACCCCGGGGAGGGGGTCCATATAGGGACCGTGCTCGGGAGCGGGCCCTCGAACGCATCCATGCCCTCCTCCTCCTCCTCCTCCTCCTCCGCCTCCGCCTCCTCCTCCTCCTCCTCCTCCTCCTCCTCCTCTCCTCCTCTCCTCCCTCTCCTCCTCCCCTCCTCCTCCTCCTCCTCCTCCTCGCTCCTCCCTCCTCCCTCCCCTCCTCCCACCTCCTCCTCCTCCGCCCTCCTCCTCCTCCGCCGCCTCCTCCTCTCGTCCACCCCCAGCGGTCTGGACGCACTCCCGAGGACCGGCCTCTCACCCAGAGCCATTGTTTGAGGGTCCTGCGGCCTGGCGAAGGCCCCCCGAGGCCGAACACAGCCCCAAACACCTTTCGTCTTGTTGTTGTTCAGTGGCCCCTCAGAAGGCCCGAGCCTACTGACCCTCAGGCTCGCCGCCGATGATAGGCGCTCCCTGGGCACCACACGGGCGCTCCCCAGGCCGCTGCCGAGGCGTGCGGGCCAGGAGGCCCCTGGACCCAGACCCGCGACGTCATGATTTTTGTCACTACGACGACCCCAAGAGGCCCAGAGGTATCGACCCATTCCACGCGACCGGTTTCCCATCCTGAGTTTCTGTCGACGTCCACACGGCCCGGTAAGGGCCCCCCCTATAAGGCGAACCCAAAACATTTCCGCCCAGATGATTCTTCATGACTCGAGGAGGCCCCTGGACGTGGCGCTACTTCCCTAGAACAAGAAGCAATGCATCTAAACATAAACATTTGGCGCTCCTCGCGGATCCAAGAAATCTGCGTGGAGCACCAACAGTTTATGTTTATGGCGTTTGTTTCTTGCTCGAGACAGATGCGCCGTTCCGATTTGCTCTCTCTCTCTCTCTCTCTCTCTATATATATATATATATATGTGTTGTTTGCGCCCGAGTTTATGCAGTTGTTTCTTCTTCGACTCCAGCCCGTGCGCCTCGGCGCTTGCCGCCACTGCCTCTGCATGGCCAGTTTCGGCGCGGGTGGCGGCTCGGCTGTTGATGGGCCAATTGTCCACCACCGCTACCATGGATAGGACAGGGGAGAATGGAGAATGGGGAGGTCCTGCTCCTCCTCCTCCTCCTCCTCCTCCTCCTCCTCCTCCTCCTCCTCCGCCCTCCTCCTCCTCCTCCTCCTCCTCCTCCTCCTCGCCCTCCTCTTCCTCCTCCCCCCTCCTCCTACCTACTTATGGTTAAGTGGTTGGTGGAGAATCGGCCCATCCGCTGCCCCCGCCTCCGAAGGGCCACCGCGGCGGGCGCCGCTGCGCGCGGGGGCGCCGGGCGCCGCGGCCGCTGCTTTCAGGGAGTCCATGGTGTTGTTGTACTTCGCCTGGGGGGGGGGGCACCGCGGAGGGGATGCGACACAGGGTTCGAGGGACGAGGCTCGAGGCGTGAGGTCGTCGGACGCTTTCGTGGATCCTCGGCGGCCTTCCAGCCTCGGGATGCGACCCAGCGGCTGCGCCTCGCCGAGAGCTTCACGGGGGTGCCCAGATCGCCCCGAGCGGCCGCTGGCAAGCCGAGCTATGACCTGAAAACCACGGGGACAAACTCAGGGGGGGGAGACATCGACCTGGAAGCGGCGATACGTCGCTGATGGATCGCCGACAAGGCCCCCAAGAGCGAAGCCGCACGGTCCTGGGGCGGGGTGGGGCTAGCGGGCCCCTATCGGCGATCAATGGGCGATTGGGCGTCGATGCATCCCCCCTTGAGCCTGTCCATCTCCCTAGTGTTGCCCTGGGTTGGCCCCCTCCCAGAAGATCTGCCCGCACTGCCCGCACTGGTAGAAGTCGGACTCCGCCTCTGAGCATCGCTGAACCGATCCCAGGCCCACTTGCGTGGCCTTGGCCCCACTGGCCGATTTACCACCCTAGCTGGGGATATGTACTGTTGCCGTCGGGTTTCGAAGGGCCTATCCCAAACTGGGGTGGTGGGATGGTGGGGCTGAGATACCATGGCACGCTGGGCATGGGGATCGGTTAGACGACACTGAGCCTCCAACACCGCTGGGGGAACGTGGCCCTCCACGTCGCCTGGCCGCAGCGTCGACCAGTTGTTCGAGTTGCAGATGCCGCAGCGGGAGCCCCCTGAACTCAGGGCCTCCTTCGGGCGTTGCTCAACGGGCGGCGACCACCGAGGGGGCGAGGAACCGTGCACCTATCGTGCCCCCCGATCCCCTGAGATCCGACGTTGCGAAAAACTGCAACATCGTGACAAATCGCGGCCAGAAGTCTGGACCCCATCCTTCTGAGTAAATTGTCGAGCCGGGTCGACATGTGAGGGCCCCATGGGTCCCCAGAACGAGCGAAAACAGCCAGCGTGCACAACATTGCAACGCCATGATCTCAGGGTTGCGCAATGGCCCGATGCCTGCAGGCTGAACACCTCCAGGAGCTCCGAGAACTGCGCGTCCGCGTCCTTGGCGTGGAGCAGGTAGTGCACGCCCGGGAAGGCCTCGGCGGTTCGCGCCACCTGCGTCACGATCAGCCTGCCCAGCGCGGCCGCGCGGCGAAAGGCGGTGTCCTGCAGGGACACGTCGATCTTCACGCGCTGCAGGCCCTGCAGCCCCGTGGCGCCGGTGCGCAGCAGCTCGCCGGCCACCTCGCAGTCGATGCCCACCATCCTGAGTAACGTTTAGCCGGTCCCCATCCCCAGCGGCGTGGCCTGGGCTCCACTGGTTGATTTAGCCCCCTAGGTTTTGGACGCCTGGAATGGGCACGGAAAGAATGGGTACAATGCCCAACAACAAATGTTGTCCCAAACCAACAGAGGCCGCTGTTGGGCAGGCGGCCCTCTGTCTCAAATGTACACAGGCCGCGGCGACACCGACAGCGAGTCCTGTTCAAAATGAGTAAGAACTGCTGTTGGGCATTGTACCCATTCTTTCCGTACCCATGTCGGGCGTCCGCCTAGATGGGGAGCTGGGCCGTCCCCGTCGAGTTTCGAGGGGTGTATCTCCAACTAGGGTGGTAATTTGGTGGGGGTCTCAAAGGGGATGGGGATGGGGATAGGGATCGGTTCAACTGACTACCTACCAGACCACCCCAACCCAACCCGAAGACCCCAATTTCGGGTTGGGGGGGGTACGGGTTCCATATGTGCTTTTTCAATGTTCCCCGACCCCCCCCCAACTGGAAATGAAGGGCAAATTGAAGCCTTCGGGTTGGGTTGGGGTGGTTTGGTGGGTGGTGATTAACGATGCCGACATCCGGAGCTTGCGCGCCAGCGCCGCGAGCGAGTGCTCCACGGTGGCCCTGAAGGGCTCCAGCCGGCCCTCCCGGCCGCCGCCAACAGGCCAGCGGGCGCTCCGGAGGGCGCGCTGGCAGACGACGTCGTCCAGCGAGCCCAGGCAGCTGGCAGGGCTCGGCAGCCACTCGAACGCGCCTGCCGCGGCGCCCGCGAGCGCCGGCAGCGCGGCCCCTGGTGGGGAAGCCAACGAGAAGGCCGCTGCTCCCTAGGATCGGGCCTCTCCCAGGGTGCGTTCTGGCCAGAAGCTCGAGGCGAATCCGGCTGCGGCGGCAAGGGCCTCGCAGGAGGCCCCTATAAATGCGGGCCGGAACTCACATCGGGAGCCCCACCTCTTTCTGCGGCTGCTTCTTTGGAGCTGGGTCGATCCGTCATGGTCCCAAGGGGGCCCGAAAGCCGCCTGCCGCGCGCGCGGAGCGCGGGTCCCGCCACGCGCACGGCCCGACGACGCCGACGCCGACGCCGACGCCGACGCCGACGCCGACGCTGACGCTCACGCAGACGCCGACGACGACGACGACGCCGACGACGACTACGACGACGACGACCTTCTCCTCCTTGAGCAGGGACCGACCGTCCCGGCATTCCCATAGGCCTAGCACGAAATATCGTTCCAAGAACACCTCGTGGAAACCACGACAGGTTCTCAGAACACTGTTGGGTGGGCCTCGAGGCACGCCAGGAGGAGCAGGAGGAGGAGGAGGAGGAGGAGGAGGAGGAGGAGGAGGAGGAGGATCCCCTGGCCTGGCTCCTGCAGCAGCAGCCGCCACCCGGGGTGCCCCGCCGAAGCCTGCAGGCCCCCGGCCGCGCCCCGGAGCCCCGGCAGGGCCAGGACGCGGACGCCAGGCCTCTCGGGTCGGGCGAAAGGGGGGGATAGCAAAGGGGGGGTTTGAGAATCAGCTCGCGTAGCTGATTTTCGCGGCGCCTCCCGGCGCCGGGAGGCGCCCATGTATCCAAGCAAATTTCGTAACCCCCCCTTTCCCAATCCCCCCCTTTCGCCCGGCCCGAGCCTCAGGGGCACGGGGGGCACCAGGCCAGGGCGGGTGCCGAAGCGCTCGGCGACCTACCGCGGGACCCAGACCCCCTCGAGTCATGAAAAAATCACGACGGGAGGTTTTTCGCTATCTTCGGCCTCCGGGGGCCCTCACCGGCCCTCAGGACCGTCAGAAAACGACTCGGGATGAAAAGCCGGTCCCGGGGAATGGGTCTGGACCTCTGGGGGTCGCGTCATGAAAAAATCATGACATCGGGGGTCTGGGGACGTGAAGCGACATATACTGGTGCTGTACGTTATCCTGGGAGGCGCGCGTCCGACCCGAACGTCCAGTGTACCCATCTTCTCGTACATCGTTTCCCGAGGGGTGTGGCCAGAAAGCGCCCGCCACCACGCATACACTAGAAGATTTCTCGGTGCGCGCGTCGCCCCTGCGGGGGGGGGGCGGGGCGACGCACACACAGTATGAGTATGTTGAAGTAGCGCCGATCTCGGGCGCTGCCAGGACCCCTCAGATCCGGGCGTCGCAATTTCTGTCGTCCAGCTTCGGGCACCGGGGCCCTCGCGGTAGTGGTCGGGTCGCCTTGCAGTTCGCAGCGATCAGGGCAGCACAGGTGGATCTGGCTCGGAGCACGGCGCAGAGCGAAGGGGTCTATGGGTGTGTGTGTGTGTGTGTTTTGTGTGTGTGTGTGTGTGCTTGTACGTTTTTCCCCACTTTTGTGTTTGTACGTGTGTTTCTTCCCACAGACGTGTGTGTGTGTGTGTGTTTTTGTGTGTGTGTGTGTGTTTTCTCCCACGTGTGTGTGTGTTTTGTGTGTGTGTGTTGTGTGTGTGTTGTGTTGTGTTGTGTTGTGTTGTGTTGTGTTGTGTTGTGTGTGTGTGTGTGTGTGTCTGTGTCTGTCTCTGTGTGTGTTTCCCCACGAGCACCCCCCACGTGATGCGCCGCGATGCTACATCGTCTTGGCCACGCCGGATCTGAGGGGGAGCGTCCCTGGCCCAAGGCTTCCCCAGGCTTTCCAGGGAGGCCCCCACGGCCTCTGTGGGAAAAAACACATGTGTGTGTGCTGTGTGATTGTTGTGTTTTGTTTGTTGTTTGTTTTTTCGTGTTTTTTGTTTTGTGTGTGTTTTGTGTGTGCGTGTGTGCTTGTATGTTGTTTCCCCACTTTTGTGTTTGTGCGTGTGCTTCTTCCCACAGACGTGTGTGTGTGTGTGTGTTTTTTTGTGTGTGTGTGTGTGTGTGTGTGTGTGTGTGTTTTGTGTGTGTTTTGTGTGTGTGTGTGCTTTCTCCCACGTGTGTGTGTGTGTGTGTTTTGTGTGTGTGTGTGTGGTTTTTGTGTGTGTGTGTGTTGTCTCCCACGTTTGTGTGTGTGTGTGTGTGTGTCTGTGTGTGTGTCTGTCTGTGTGTGTCTTCCCACGAGCACCCCCCACGAGGCCCCGAGGCCCCCCCCCACAGGGACTCCAAAAGACGGAGCCCAGGAGCCCGGGAGCACCTCGGGCGCACGGGGCCCTTTCACAGCGAACCCCTTCGGAGGCCTCGCGCGGGGAGGCCATGCGGAGCCGGCGGCGTGACACGCCCAGCCAGTTGCCCAGCCACTTGATGTCCAGCGGCGCGGCGGCCGGGGTCAGCACGAGGAGGGCCTCGCGGCGGTGCAGAGAGAGGGCTCGGTCGGGCCTGTCCTCCCACAGGGTGCTCTTGGATGGCATGAGATATGCAATTAAACAAAAACACTCGAGAGCCATCACAAATAGCAGGGACATCGTCTGTTTTTGACTATTATCCCATGTTCCTCCGGTAGAGGGACATGCCCAACTGGAAGATAGGGCCCGATGGGATGGAGCCCTGAGAACGCGGGGCCTCCAGCACTGTACATTCAACCAGGGGCCACTTCCTATCCTCGGAGCTGATGGGCCTGTTTTCCTCCTCCTCGTCCTTCTCCTCCTCCTCCTCCTCGTCCTCCTCCTCCTCGTCCTCCACCTCTTTCTCCCCTCCAACTCATGGTGGTGGTGGTGGTGGAAGTCAGGCCCGTCAAGGGCCGCATTCCTCAGAGCCACATTTTGGAACCGCCGAGCCTCGTCGTCCTCCTCCACCGCGGCGGCGCCCTTCGGGGCGCTGTTCCGCGGCCTCTGGGGCAACAGCACGAGGCACAGGGCGTTCAGGTCCGAGCTGTCGGCCACTGCGGCCGCCTCCTCCGACCGCACCAGCCTTAGGCGGCGACATCCGGGCCCCACCCCCACAAGCCATCGATGCTCCTGAATCGATGGGAGGCGGGGGCAGGGCTCAGACGTCGCCACGTGTTCGACGAGTTCCAAGCTCTACCAACGCCGCCCATCCAGATGCCTGAAGCGTTGATCGGCGAGGGCAGGCACGCCACGAAGAGGTATACACGGACACCCTCCGACGAACTTTGCACGTACCTTCAGGGGGAGGGCGGCGGTGTATAAAGTCGCTGGCTCTCAGTGATGATGTATACATCGCCACCCTTCCCTGAGGCCCAGGAATTAATCCATTGGAGGGTGTCTGTGTATATGTTGTTTTGTGGCGGAGTAGGGTTTGGTCTTCGCCGCCCAAGCCTGCAAGAGCCCTGCCGACTCGAGCACGCCGCGCTCACAGCGCTCTGCACCACGCCGAGCGCCGCGGACCACTCCTCCGGCCCCTCGCCGTCGGTCTCCGCGCGGCTGGCCGCTGCTCGGCCTGCCACGCCCCCGCCGCGGTCGCCGCTCCCGCGCGAGGGCGCCATCTCCCTCTCCGCCAGCGCGCCCGGGGCGTGCGCTGCGATGGCCTCCTCGAGAGAGCAGAACCTGCACCCTCAGAACAATCGACTCGGCACGCGAAGCCGCTCAGCAAAGACACCCGGAGGAGGAACCGAGCAGGGGGCAGGGCTGTTTCGCCCACGCCCAGGGCCGTTCAGCAGAGGGCCAAGCATCGGGTGCGGGCGGTTTTTCCTCCCGTGACTCCTCCAGCTGGAACAGGCAGGCCGCGTCGGCGGCCGCGTACGCCACCTGCGAGGCGCAGAGCGGGCGCCGCTCCCAGTCGGAGCACTGCTCGCTCTTGTCCAGCGCGTACCCCGTCCAGCTTCGCAGCCGCGCCGCCAGCCCGGCCCCGAGCCTGGAGGCCTCTCCGGAGCCTTCCGCCGCGGCGCAGGCGTCGGCGAGGTCCACCGCGCGGCGCACCTGCAGGAAGCAGTCCATGCCTGTGAGCAGCGCTTGGCCGATCCCGAGGCTCCCCACTGGCCGACTTGCCCACCCAGGTGGCGCTATACACCTGTTCCCTCGGGCCTCGCGGGGCCCCCCCCCTACCTGGGTCGAGGGGGCCCGGTGGGGGCTGAGGCACCGTGGCCCAGAATGGGGATGGGGGGATCGGTCAGACGATGCTCAGCCTGGCAGCGAAGCGAGCCTGTCCAGGTCCCCCTGGAAGGCGAACCCGAGCACGCGCACGCCGTCGGAGCGCAGCACGCCGCCCAGGGCCGCGTCCACCTCGGACCGCAGAGCTGCCCTGCACTCCTGGGCGGCTGCAGCAAGAAAGGGCAGCGTGGGCCCGGCGCCAGCGGTCATTGCGCCCTCGCACGTGCAGCATATGAGGTGGAGTCCGCGCGGTATGTGGGCTGCGCTCTGTGCACGGTGCAATCGCGGCCTTGGTGTGGGGCCAGCAACGTGGTGCAGCATGTGTGGTGCAGTCCATGTTGAGTGATCAGAATGCAGCAATCTATGAGGTGCCACCGTTGTGGTCCGCCATGGGGCGCCAAGGGCGGCCATGGGTGGCGACGGGCTGAAATCTCGGCAAACACCATGGGACACCATGTGCACTGCAGAGCTCCAAGCGAGCCCACAGGGTGTTGACCAGCCGAAACAACTGGCACCCACCCGTCTTTTAGACCACATTCTACCAGAACCACGCGCACGCGCGTCGCGCGCTTCGGTACTAACAAACACCCGCCCTCGACAACGACACAACTCTACACGCGCATGAACACATGCACGCGTGATACAGAAATTGCCGCGACGGGCGAACACGGAAAGCGTGGGTTACCGAGGGGAGGGAAATTCGGGAAAGGTGGTCCGCCACCTGGGCCCAGGAAACCAATCGCCGGGCAAAATACATACATGCGTACACATGTATATATATATATATATGTACTTATGGATGCTGTGCGCTGCGTGCTGGGTCATGTATTGCGTGTCGCGCGCGAGCAATGTGAGAATTCGGTGTGCGTCATGTGTGTTTTGCTTGTGATTTGTGCTAGGTGTGCTGTGTGTGTGTGCGTTGTGTGTGTGTGTTGTGTGTGTGTGTGTGAGTGTGTGTGTGTGTGTTTGTGTGTCTGTGCGGTTTGTGTTGGGTGTGCTGGGTGTGCTGTGTGTGTGTGCGTGTGTGTATGTTCTCTGTGTGCGTATTCTGTACGTGATAGGTGTTGCGTGTGTTCTGTGTGTATGCGTGTCCCCCCGCTGAAAGGACTCCCCCGCTCGCCGCAGGCGCGCCGCCGGCGCCCCCGGCACCAGTTCCAACGCCTCCCACAGTTCTCCCTCTACCCAGCGGCGCCGTCCAGCGGCGCCTCCCACATGCGGCGGGGCAGCGGACACTGCCGCGCCTGCCCGTCAGTGACCCTCCTAGCGACGCAGCGCCCGAAGACGACAACGCCGACCCGCCAGGCCTGTCTGCCCCTGTCCCCGTGCCGTTCCTGCACACTGCCCAGACGCCCATTGAACCGCTTCCGCGGAAGGGCCTGGTCGCCGTGGTCCATGGGTGGGTGCCCAGCTCTGGCACGAACATCTGCGGCGCATCCCGGCAACCCTGGGCGATCCCCAAACTGCGACGTCAACGTCCTGCGGCAAAGCCTCGCCCGCGCCTACGGGCACAAACCCGAGCACGGCGCGAGCAAATCTGCTGCCCACGTGCCTGCGTCGCGCCAGCCCCGCGGATCCTGCCGCACGGACGAAGCGCGCGCACGCGGTGCGCCGTGCCCCGGGGACGCCGGATGCCGGAGACCTGTATCTAGAAGGACTCGTGCTACCTCGCCGCCAGCCCTTCCCGTAAGCCGGCGCTCCACACCGAGCCGCGCCTCTTCCAAACCAGGTCCCTCCACGGACGCTGCGCCGCGTGGAGCGACGACCACCTGCCGCACGATCGGCACCACATGGCGACGGCAAGAGGGCCCGCAGCTGCCCGAGGCGCCGCGGCACGCCCTTCCGCGCCCCCTCTAGGGCGTGGCGCGTCCAGCGAGCAGCGCCGCCCCCCCTGAGGCATGAGGTCGCGGCGCTGGGCAGCCCCCCCGCGCCCAGAGCCCGACCTCACGGCGGCGGGTCAGGCAGCTCGGGTTCGGCGGCGGGCAGCATGACCACCTACCAGGCCCCCCCGCCCCAACCCGAAGACCCGATCCTCGGGCGGTGGGGGGGGGGGGGTACGGGCTTCAGATGTGTCATTTTCACTGTTCCCCGCCCAACCCCCCCACTGGAAATGGTGGGCCAATCGAGGCCTTCGGGCTGGGTTGGGGTGGTTTGGTGGGCGGCGGGCAGCCCCCCGCACCCGAGTCCCGCCCTGCCCGGGCGCCCCACCAGCGACCGGTGCCCCGTGTAACTCTCCACGGCCCGCGAGCGCTGCCCGGCTCCTCTCCGAGGCACCCACCCACCTGGCGAGAAAGATCGAACGGCACCTCCCCCGACGAGACCATCTCGTTTCACCTCCTCCTCCTCCTCCTCCTCCTCCTCCTCCTCCTCATCCTCCGCTTCCTCCCCCCACTCCTAGCCCTTTCGATCAGGGTCGGCGGCACCGGCCGTCAGGCCTCTCCAATCGAACGGCACCTCCCCCGACGAGACCATCTCGCTTCAGAAGGTGTGCAGCAATACAAGGACCCCCGATCCTTTGCTTTGAGAGGCGACCTGAGCTAGGAGGCCGACAGCACTAGGGATAAGGGGTCTGTTCTGCAGACGTACAAGCCAGACCACCCATATCCATTGCCCCTGATGCAACGACGGGGCCCTCAGTGAGGCCACGTCTTCACTATGTTAATACGGTTAAGGGCCCTTTGATCCTCGATGATGAGAGGCCCTACCACCATCTCGCCAGCCGGCACCGGGGCAGCGCCAGCGCGCGCGCGAGCTGGCCGGGGGCCACGGGGTGCCCCCAGGTCGCGCGAGCCTCCCAGGGCGAAGGACTGCCACGGCGCCTCTCTCCCTGCCCCCCCGGCCCCGCCCCTGGGGGGGGCCAGCCCGCCAGCCCTGGACCGGCCAGCGTCCGCTGGCCTTCCCTGGGGCGGGCGCCGCGGCTCCACGGCGGCGCCGCGGCGGCCAACGCAGCCGCCGCCTCCCGCGCCCGCCGCGGCAGGCTCGCGGGAGGAGCCAGAGCGCCGGAGCGCCGCGACTTCCCACTGCTCTCGTGCCTCCACCGCCCCCGCCCCCGCCGCCGCCGCCCTGGCAGTGGCCAGCTCTGCGGCGACGGCTCGAACCCTGACCGCGGGCCGCCAGCCAGCGGCGCCCGGCCTGCGATGAGCCGGGGGGCGGCCTGGCGCGTCGCCGCAGCCAGCCCCTGCCCCGCGACGCCGCCACTGGCCCCCGCCCCCGCTGCCACTAAAAAAGGCCACCGGGGCAGGCCTCACCGACATGCCTCGCACCCGTGGGCCCTCCCGAGCCCTGTCCGATGCAGCGCCGCTTGGCTGCTGAGGTCTCCGCGCGGCTCGACGGGGAGCCGACAGGTGCCAGGAGTCGATTTGGCGCGTGTGGCATTCGCTTGAACTGGCGTGGAAGTCATGGTTGATCAAGCACTGCGGCCGTCCTATCAGCGACGCCACGATTGCCCCCGCTGGCCTTTCCGCCGAGGCTCTCGGGCAGTTCGTCGATAACATTCCTGGTAACATTCTCGGCGGTGCTCCTTCACCTGCGCCATCCCGTGCCATCCTAGCGCAAGCGACCCGCCTCTCGCCTCGCTGGAGGCCGGGGGTGACAGCCTCGGCGCTAGGCTCTGCCTCGCCGCCCTCCCTTCTCTCGGGCTTCTGCCCCAGCTTTGTCCCCCGTGCATTGCACCTTTTCCTTGCTTTCGCCCTTTGGCGCGCACTGCACTTTGCTCGCTTTCGCTCGAGCCTTTGCCTCTACAGTCAGCCCATCACGCTCGCCGTTTGGGCAGGCCCCTCGGTCTGCGTGCTTCCTGCCTGCCTGCCATCCACGCCCAAAATGGCTGATGCGGTCCTCCTTCCCGCTCATGCTTCCGTGCGGGCACCGCCCGCGGGATTGCATGTACCTTTCCGACCATCCACGCCCCCGGGATGGCTGATGCTGGTAGGACCGCATCCTGAGTAATGCTTGAGGGACCAGCCGCCGCGTGCTCTGTCTTTGCGCTCACTCCGCCTCGCCAAAATGTATGTTGTCTGTTTGTGTTGTGTGTGCCATGTGTTTATATATATACAGATACGTTGAACGTGCGGGGTCGATGTTGGGAGGGTGTCTCTGGCGAAACTGCTTGTTCTAAGAATCACGTTGCAAAAGGGATCGGTTTTGGGAGCATGTCTCCACACGCACCATGAAACCCTCCTTCCCTTCCTCTTGGATGATGGCATGCGGAAGCGGGCGATTCAGGTGCGTGCGCCAGCCGTGGAGGCGGAGTTTTCTGAGTGGTGCAGGCCCAGAGGCCCCCGAAACGCCCCAAGAGGCCCCCAAGAGGCATCAAAGCGGCCCAAGATGCCCCCAAGAGGCCTCTCGCGACATCCCAGCGAACATCCCAAAGGCATATGACCCAGAACCCAGGCACTGTGGCGGGACCGGCCGAAAGCCATCAGAAGCATAACGCAAGATACCAGCACCCCTCACTTATGGATAAGAGTGAGGGGGCTGGCGCGGGCGACGCGGGCGTCGAGCCGGCGGACCTGGTGGCCCTCACCTTCCCTGTCGATGGCGCCCTCATCCTCCTCCTCCTCCTCCTCCTCCTGCTCCTCCTCCTCCTCCTCTTCCTCGTCCGCGTCCTCGTCCTCATCGTCCTACAACAGCCCCGCCGCAGGCGCCGATGTGCTCTTGTAGAGTCAACGTGAGCCGGATCGGAGGAATTGCACGAGGGCGCTTTCCCAAACCAATGCGAGCAAGCCCGCCGCAGGTGCCGATTTTCGTGCTCTGACAAGTTCAGCGCGGGGGAGATCGCTGGTGGGCCACCCGGAACGAATGCAAAAACAGCCCGCCGGAGGCGCAATTTTTTTGGCTTGTTCAGTGAACGTTGTTTGGGTCGCGGTTGGGTCGCGGGCTCTCCACCTCCACCTGGAAGGAATTCAAAAACAGCCCGCCGCAGGCGCCGAACATTTTGATTTTTACACTGAACGCGGTTTGGGTCGCAGGTTCTCTCTCCACTAGGAACGAATGCAAAAGAAACCCGCCGCGGGCGCCGAAGTTTTGGTTTGTTCAGTGAACGTAGTTTGGGTCGCGGGTGGGTCACGGGCTCTCCACCTCCACCTGGAAGGAATTCAGAAACAGCCCGCCGCAGGCGCCGAACATTTTGATTTTTACACTGAACGCGGTTTGGGTCGCGGGTGGGTCGCAG